GTAATGTTAAAACTGGTTTTGAAGGATTGGACGTACGACAACAGTGCGGGGAAATACGGAGAGGCGGTCTGTGGAACAAATGCTGCCTGATGGTGGAAGCATGATGACAGGAATAGAACGGAAGGGATACAGCCAGAATAATACGCCCTTAAAAGAACATATTTCACTCGATGCTGCAATACAACTCGCTTCTGGAGACAAGTTCATTGGGTTCGGGGCTTCAATCGATCAAGCAGTGATTTTGATTATTTAGATTGATTAGGCGTTAGTCGCTTTGATGTGGGACTGACTACACGCTAGACACCTAACCTTAAAACACCTTGAAGGNTCCGGAACGCGGACGCATGTAGTCAAAACGGTGGAAACAGCCGTGCCCAACAACCATTGCCGGAGCCAAATTGTCCATTGTGGGTGAGGACCCCAAGCCTTCGGCAGGCCCAAGAGAACTGAATATGGAACAAAGAGGCGATATGAAGCAGTCTGGGGTAGTACCCAGCTGAAGAGGGAAGGGAGAACGGGAAACGGAGCATGCGACAGAACATTACTAAAAATAAGCGCACACCTAGCACGCGTTACTAAAATGATGGGGTGCCGGAGTGAATGTGGCGTCACAAAACATGTACGGAGGAAATTTTAGTCCACGTAGCACAGACACCATTTGAGCGAAAATCCTCAAACGGAGTTCCTAAACCTTAACGAAAATAAAAATGGTGATTCTGATTTGGCTCTGAAGCATCAAAACAGATTCATCGAGAACAAGAGGTTTAGGAGCAAGAGTGAAAATAGAAACAACATGAGCACGAAATCTTTCAAGCAAAGCACACAAACGTTCGTCATGTAAGTGTCTGCTAGGAGTATGGACAATAATATCGTCCTGATAGGCACATACACCTTGTAGACCGGAAATGATTGAATTAATAGTAGTTTGAAAAATGGCGGGGCAACACTGAGTGTAAACGGTAGAAAACTGTAGCGAAATAAAACAAAAGGTGTGTTAATAGTCGTGAGTTCACGGGACTTTTCACTAAGAAGAATTTGAAGAAATGCATCTTTCAAGTCTAGATTAGAGAAAACTTTGGATCTATCAAGTTGGTGCAGAATGTCTTATGGTTCGACGGTGACGCAACTGGACTGTTTCAGCTGTCTGTTCACAGTAACTCGATAATCCCTACATATCCTAGGAGTTTTCCCATCACGTTTTAGAGGAGTAACAATTGGCGTGGCCCAAGCCGAAGAATTGACGGGTGTCAGAACTCTCTTGCTTACCATATCGTCTAACGCCTTTTTTACGGGCTCACGAAGTCCAAGTGGGATAATTCGACGTTTCATAAACACCGGAGAACCGGTCACGTCGAGACTCACAGGAGTCATTTTGATATCACTCTTTGCCTTGGAACATTCAAGTACTAATTGACGAAGACGTAATTGATAGGAGTCAGACATGAATGAAAACCATAGATGCATACGATTCATACAATTCAAACCGATTATAGAAATATCGGAATCAATAACCAAAAACGGACAGTGAAATGTTTGTGATTTATCGTCTTTAAGATGCAGTTCGCATGATCCTAAGACGGGCAACAAGTGACCGGTAATTCCCTTAATTGAAATGTTTGTTGGGAAAGTGCAACTGGGGGGTTTAACTGACGCAATACCTTGTTGGAAATGAAAGAATCAACACTACCGGTGTCCATGATGAATATATGGAGAATGGAGTCATTAATGATGAAGTCGCGAGTAATGTGGCGAAAGGGACGTGAACTGGTACTGGCTAGAGTTGAGGACTGTAAATGACACAAGAAATCTTTAGAGTAATGGACAGTCGTACGTTTTGTAAGACACGACTTCGTACTTTCACAGACAGATTGAATACGGCCAAGCTTACCGCAATTGTGGCACTTGGCATTTCGTAATCTACAGGATAGCCAAGAATGTCTGTGACCACAGGAATTGTACTTGTTTCATCGTTGAATCCGTTGGTCATTGTGGGTTGGAGAACTGATGTTGCTTGGTGTTTCCGAGCTCTTTTCGAAAACCCGCTTTCGTCGGGATGGTGACTGTTTGGACTTGCTGGCACTGAACAACAGGTTGGGTTCATCACAAATAATGGCACGGACGTCTTGATACTGTTCACAGACTGCCTTAGCCGACTGAAATGTGCAATCGTGCATGAACAGGAGCTTTTACTGTGGTTCCGGGCAATTAATACCAGCAATTAATCGATCACGTGACTGGATTTGCAATTGATCTCCGAACTTGCAACGAGATGCTTGAGTCTGAAGCGGAAGAATAAAATCACGTACAGGTTGGCTTCCACCACGTGTGAGTGAATGATATTTGGCTCGCTCAGCGGCTTCGAAATTAGCCGGCTGTAGATGCTTCAGTAGCAAGGTTTTCAAGGATTCATACAACAACGATATAGGAGAGTCAGGAAATGCCAAATTGTTCAACAATGAGTATGCATCCTCTCCGATGATCGTTAGGAAATAAGCCGTTTTGCGTTCTCCATCGAGTCCTTTCCGCGTAATACACCAAATCTCGAATCGTTCAAGATAGTCTTCGACTTCGTGCGCACTAACATGTATATTCAAGTTCTCTAAATTACAGGACTCCATTGGTTCAAAATGACCGCGACGCCAGTTGTTGTGGTTAGCGCTCGGACTAGTAATTCGTACACGTATCGGATTCCGCGCAGTAATAGTCCAACCCAGAACTAGGACTCGAAACGAAATCAGAAGACAGAACTGAGCGACGAAATGGAATCGTGATAAGCGGAAATTCGAGATGTACAAGGATATCGTGTTCAAAAAAAAACAAAAGAGTTCATAGTTCATGAGCAATCACCACAAATCGATCACACTAAAACAGTCGACGAAAAATTATGATAGTCTGTTTGAATGCATCAAACGTGTGCCATCTGATCAGGACTGGTATGAATTGAAAAACTATCAAATTGAATCAGGTCTTGCCTGTTCTCAGTTCGATTGATGATCGACACGACTCTGATGCAGCTCAAGATTAAAGTCACGTGACGCATATAATAATTTCAATTTTGCCCGATATTACCCGAACGCATACATGTGCACGTGAGTGTGTTTAGTCTAATCCGATTAGTACGTGTGGTCTTTTCAATAGATTCGGTATTCACTAGTTATGTGTGACCTACAAGGTTCGGCGATAGTGGTTATGCTGACTGTATTCAGTTGCACAAAAGAGTGTACGAACTACCGTAGGTATAACCTGAGTCTGTTTATATGAATATGTAGCTTATTGCTCATAAAACATGGTGCATAAATGCCAATATGTGACATACTCTTTGTCCCATAATGTTCAGTACAATGCCCCTGGAGGGTCGCAAATCGTTACCACGATGACACACGACTTCCGCAGACTCCAAGCGTAGAAGATTTGTTCGAAGAACTCGACTCTTAAATAGCTTTGCTGCCGACAATTCGGAGCTGGCCTATTCGTATGCAATTTATTTTTCATTATATAGTTACATGCTGATGATTGATGGTAATCTTCTAACGGTTTATCGGAAACCTCAGTGTTTCATCCAGATCCTGTCATGAAGTTCCAGGTGTTTTTCATCCAAGGTTCAAAAGATGCCCGATCAATACGATTGATGTTTCTGCTTGAATTGTCTTAGATAGAGCAGCAGTAGCCGAGTGTTAAAGGTCATCGAATTATCGCCCCGAAGGACGTGTTTTCGAATCCCATTGCCCGCGGTGTCCCCAGTTTATGTTGTTGGGCAGCCCTTTTGATTGACCGCTTACCAATCCTATAGATTGTAGTAGTATCGCGTATTCAATTAATTGAAAAAAAATAAAATGAAAAAGAGCAAAACGGTCAATAATTCGTTATATTTGCTAGAAATACGCGACGAAGATTCACTTATGCTTAGACAGTGCATTACAAGGAAACAATGAAATATGGCATGTGCAAAGTTACGTAAATTACAAATTCTCACAAGCGTAAATAAATTCAAATGGAGAATAGTTTTATTCAGCCATTTTATATATTATAAGCCATATATTGATAGTGATTCTTTTATTTTTCCGTTAAGGAATTTTTGTCAATTTTTAGGCCTAAGTCTAATCAAATATTGTATGGTAGGTCGAATGAATGAGATGAGTGATAATGGCGAGATTGGAACGCATGAAAGGTCGCTGTAATTATTCCTACACGTCTAACACGTATACATGCTGTACTGTCAAACAATGGATGCCCATAACTGTGAAGCATATTACACCGTCGGTCTCCAGCCATCATAAAATGGAAAAGACTAAAATATTTCGGCAACATATGGTGCTTCGAAGGATACAAAGAATAAAATCATGATTGGTCACAGGATTACAGGCATTGTAGTACTGTTACAGTTCGTACTCGGACTACTATTTCGTATACGTATCGGATTCCGCGCAGTAATAGTCCAACCCAGAACTAGGACTCGAAACGAAATCAGAAGACAGAACTGAGCGACGAAGTGGAATCGTGATAAGCGGAAATTCGAGATGTACAAGGATATCGTGTTCAAAAAAAACAAAAGAGTTCATAGTTCATGAGCAATCACCACAAGTACTCGAACGCCCTATAATGCCTCCATTTCGATANTAAGGTATTGGTCACACGCCTCTCAAACCTGCTACTGATCCGTGAATGCTGGACCGAGGAAAAGGCCAAAAGATAAGAAACGAACATCATCTTCGTAGACTTCAGCAAGGCCTTCGACAGAGTGCCACACAACCATCTTCTGCAAAAGCTATCCAATCTGGGTGTAGGTGTGGTCATGCCGAATTGGCTGCGAGACTTCTTTCCTCATCGACCGGAGATTCTGCGTCCGTGGTGGCAAATCGCTAGCTTCGTGGTATTCCGCCTCCAGTGGGGTCCCCCAATGCTCGGTTCTTGGTCCATTGCTCTTTATGGTTTAACTGAACGACCTGCACGGTCAACTGTGCAGCCCATCCCTCATGTGTGTGGATGACATCGAAATCTGGCGTACAATCAAGAATCCGAATGATCGAAGTTCTCTTCACGCGGATTTGAACAACCTGGCTCAATGGGCGGACACCTTGGCACTTCCAGTCAACACCGCAAAATGTGCTCACCTGCCCCTGGGACGTGTGGGCTCAGAGGTAGTCAACAACTTCCAGGGAACCGCATTGCGCAGAACATCGTGCGAAGGAGACCCGGGATTTATGGTGATGTCATCGCTCGAGATCCGAGAAAACACCGATAGGTTTGTGCCGGTGCATGGAGCATTCTGGGGCTTATTCGGAGATCTTCCGATCAGCTTGGGATAAACGCTTTGAGACTGCTGTACGCTTCCCAAGTCCGATTGAGATTTGAGTATGATACTGCGGCGACATACCCCTACACGGCCGGTGAACTGACTAAGTTAGAGCGAGTACAACGTGCTGCCACTAGACTCGTTGTTGGACTACGCTGAACCAACCACGAAGGTCGTCCACAGGCTACTGGTCTGTTCCCAATGGCTTATCGGCCCCTCAGGGGAGATCTCATCTGTCGGAGGAAGGTCCTGAGAAGTGATATGAGCCCGAGTTTGCGGCAGAATTTCTCTCTACGGACAGAGGAACGCACGCGGGGCACTCTCTCACGTTGTGTAAACTTCAGTCAGTTGGTCTTCCGTTAGTCTACCGACCCTCGTGGAGGTCAACAAAGATCTGGAATTCCCTTCTAATGACTGCGGTGGAGGAGAAGATTGACGATGCTTTCAAACAGCGTCTGGATGAGTACCTGAAGGACTATGGAGGAAGGAACACTTGTGATCGGACCTCCGACCCAGTGGTGATGGGGCTTACACGGGCACCCTGCCCTCCGCCCTCGATATTGAAGACTGAAAACTGAGTATTAGATATTCTAGACGCGCTTTACGCCACACTTCCTCCATTGTTCGTTCAAATGTATTGGTTGAGTAAGGGTCTGCCTGCATTTGTCCTGATCGGTTGGATTTGTTATCGACCCGAAAGAAAAGGACTTAATGATGTAACGTGTGTCTAGTAAATTCTTTCACATTCAAGCCGCATCACAATGACTGACTGGATTAATTTCATTATTTGCGACCGCAGTGTTTCTTGTGCTACATTTTCGAACGTTATCGTATCTTCTGAACACTAAGTTCCGCGTTCTGTTTCTAATAAAGGAGGTATGTCTGTGCCTTTGTCATCATTTCAAGCTTATACATGCACTGACATGCATCATAGCAACATTTGTTTTCATGCTATGATTTCAGCAATCTGAAGACCCACTTCTAAAAATCTCGATGGGCGTCATTAATCTCAGTCTACCTTTATTCATTTTACTGTTTTTACTGCTACTTTTGCTGACATCCATGACACTTTGACTCTTCCTTTTTCATCCCTTCTAAATACCTCGGAATTTCGATCCACCAGTACACGAAGTTTTACAATCTTACTGAA